TGGCACAATATTTGCCAGCCATTCAGGGTATTTGGACACGATTAGGAAATTAGCATCTAGCTATTTCTGTATTTCCTCCTTAACTTTCAAGGACCAATCGGGTTTCATCCTTCTTAGCTTTTGCTTTATTGGCCGGAAACCCTCTTTTAATGGTAGTTTATGCTCCACTAAGCTTTCGTTGAGTCCAGGCATGTCATGGTAAGACCAAGCGAATATGTCCGCGTATTCTTTCAATAACCGAATTAACCCTTCCCTGATGTCACTATCGATTTGGATGCCGATACTCACTTCCTTCTTATCGTCCTTTTGTCCCAAATTGACCATCTCTATCTCTTCCTGATAAGGCTGTATGGAGCGAGATTCTCTTTCCAGCAATCTTTGCATGTTCGGAGAAATGGTCTCCTGCTCACTGTCGGATTCGACCCATTCGCCTTTGGCTTTCAGATCCCACAGAGATTCATCAATCACAAACATGATCGTTTTAAGGGTTCTATTTTAGGTATAGATTTTATTATTCAGTTATTTTGAAAGAATAATAAATAGAAGAGGGAAAAGAATAAATGTGAATATGGATGAAAAATGCCTCATGTATTAAAATAAAGAAAGGGGTACAAAAATGCCCTTTTATTCGGTGATCTCACGGCCACGGGCTGGGACCGCAAGAAATACAAAGAAAGCTTTTAAAGAAAAAGACATAACCCTAACAGCTGGTCCTTCCTATCCAACCCTATCACTCTGGTTGCGACAGAGGCTTGACTTCTATGTTGGGGGCTGGAGCATCAAAGGTGACCCATCCGGCATCTATTAAATCTTGGACCTTATATTTTAAGGCCCGACAATTCTCTACTGAATGCCCGGGAGCGCCTGAGTGGTAAGCGCATTTCTCATTGGGCTCATACCACTCAGGGTAAGGTGGATCCACCTTTCTTGGCGGGATGTATGCCAGGAGGTTGGCCTCCACCAGTTTGGACAGTAAATTCCCATAAGAAATTGGAATGGGAGAGAACTTCTTCTCTTGCCTCTGGGATTGCCTAGCTGTCTTCAAGGAAGAAGAAGGAGTGCCGAGGTTGATAGCATTTACGCTCCCTTCTTTCTTCCTGCCCAAAGTTTTCTTGAATGACGCGTTAGAGGAGGAAGGTTGCACTATCCTTCCACTCTTTAATCCCTGCTCCACCCTTTCGCCTATGGTGACCAGGTCTGCGAAGAGGGTTGACGTGCTCCCTATCATTTTGTCGTAATAGGGTCCAGTCAACGAGTTGATGAACATAGACACGGTCTCCTTGTCTGATAGCGGAGGCTCCACTTGGGCTGCCAAGTCCCTCCATCGTTGGGCGTACGCTTTAAAGGATTCATCGCCTCTCTTGCTCAGTGCTTGGAGATCTGAGCTATCGGGGATCATATCGATGTTGTACTTATAGCGGCGAAGAAAGGCGTCTGCCAGCTGCTTCCAGTTCTGAACTCGCCCCTTCTCTAACTGCATGTACCAATTCAGAGCTGAATCGGCCAGGCTCTCCTGAAAGCAGTGTATTAGGAGTTCTTCGTTGTTAGCGTGGGGAGCCATCTTGCGGCAGTACATAGTGAGATGACTCCTGGGGCAAGTCATTCCCATGTACTTTGGGAAGTCTAGAACCTTGAATTTCAGAGGGAAACGAATGTTCTCAACAAGGCACATATCAGCAACCTCCTTCACATCAAAGCTATGTCCCTCCATAGCCCTAAGCCTCTCTTCTAGAGTGGAGATTTGTTGCTTGGAGACTTCAGGGGGCTGGATGAGCACCTCCCTTGCTTCAGAATGCATATGGGCCTCTTCTTCTTCTTTCTCCTCATGGTGAGATGCGCGGTCACCATGAGTGTCGCCCTTATGGAGGCTCTGCTGGCGCATTAATTCCATCAACTGCGCCATTTGTTCCTTCATAACGTTAAGCTCAGCGGTGAGCTTACGGTTCTGCTCTTCTAGTTGCTCCATTGCTTTAGCCTTTTGTGCAAGGGTTCGGATCACAGAAAGACCAGCCACTTTCTAGAATGCACATGAATTAGGGTTTTTATGAATGATTGGTGTGTGATAGATATGCCTCCTAGAATGAGTGTATTTATGCATGCATCAGTTCAAAAGGGCGACAAATGTTCAAAATGGCATAACTTTTGACTGGGATGTCCGATTTGGACGTACAATATATCAAAACGAAGAGAAAAGGGTGAAGAACAAGGTTGTAATATACCCAAGGGGATTTGGCCCGGTAATTTTCCCAAAAAACGCTTCTAAGACCCACTTTTCAAGGGTTTATTAAAATGATGCATATGCAGACTCTCCTTATGCATTTATTTTCTCTTTTGGTTTTTCCGCTTATAACATGATGCGATATGAATGAGACGACTTTGTCAAAATTCTTTTTATAAATGTTTTGATTTTATTATTATTATTTTAAAAAAAATTTAGCCTTTTATCTCTTCTGTCGGACTGCGTGGCTACTTAGCTTACAAAGAACCTGAAACCAGGCTAGCTAAAAGGCAGATTGTCCGAGATAAAAGTGGTTTATTGTGAAAATATTTTTTGAGATTTTGTTTTATATTTTTATTTGCTGTTGTATGATTATGCTATGCGACAAATAAATGCAACAAACGAATGCACAAACAATTCACTCATCTGCGAACAGAGTGACGTTTTAATTACGAGGTAGGGGTTTCCTGCAGAAAAGTGCATAGGCAAAGGTAGGTTCTAACTGTTCTCACCAAGGCCAGGCCCCCAAGGTGCCCCCATTATAGGGACCCTTCAATTTCCCAGTCTTCGAACCATGCACGGATGTCCGTGTCGACGTTCTTAGACCAAGAAAAAGAAAGTTATCACCTTGAGTGGTGGTTTCCGACAACGACCTGCTGGCACTATGGCACATACCACGGTCGGCCGTACCTGCCACCCACTCCCTATGTGTATTCTCTCTTGCCCCCGGGTATAGAGGGACTGTAGTGTGCAAATGTTGTGTACAGTTTTATTTCAGACAATTGCAGAAAATAATCATACAACAATTATTAAAGCCAAACAGTAAAGCATGTTATAAGAGCAAGAAAGGGTAAAAGTGTAATTTATAGTTTTTATTTCCTAAACTAGTCCATCACTAAATGGGATCAACTCTCTAGCTTCCGCAGTGGAGTCGCCATCTGTCGCCGCCGTCAAAAGAGGCAGTCGGAGTGACGCGATGGTTTTTAATTGACTCGCATTTTCTTTGAAAAAAACGGTTCAACGCCTTTAGGCCGTCTGATAATCGGGCTAGACCTAAGGGTGAGGTTTTCAAATAGGTTCGAGGAGTCGCCACCAGTGTTTTAACCTTAAACACTGAAAAAGGTAAAAAAAGAAAAGGTAGTGGTTTTATAAAAAACCAACTTTGGCCATTACAACCAGAGTCGGGTAAGGGAGTTAGTTACATGCGGGGAAGGTGTTAGCACTCCCACAACGCCCCTTTCGGGTTCCCTATGATGGACTAACTTAGAAAATAAATACTTAAAGAAATTACATTTTTACCCTATTATTTGATCTACTTGCAGAATTTAAATATCTACATGGCTCTACTATCTAATGCACACAAAGAAAGCGATAAAAAAAGCAGTAAAAGAGACAAAGAATAGAGAAGAAACCTCCGAAGCGAGCTTTATATTAACTCTTCTAAAACGTGAGGACACTTTTTGGCAGTCCCCGCACTCTACAAGCACGCTCCTCTCCGCAAAACAAAGAAAAGTCACTCAACCGAGGGCCGGATGCCTCAAAGAGAGACCTCCTTAACCGATTTCAACCTTAACAGAAATTGGAAAGCTCCCTCAAACCCCAGAATAATGCTCAGGTTCACTCTCAAGTGCCAAAAAGCTTGCAAGAGAGTGGAGGAGTGGAAAAAGTGTGAAAATTCGGAGGAATGAGGTCCCTATTTATAGGGATTCAGGCCTGGAAAAGGCGGACGACCGTCTGGACAAAGCGGACGACCGTCCAGGGCAAAAAGTGGCCATGGACGGCCGTCCATATAGTGTGGACAGCTGTCCATGGGGACTTTTTGCCATGGACGGCCGTCTGCTTGTCATGGACAGCCGTCTGCCTGCTCTGGACGGCCATCCGCCTGTTCTGGACGGCCATCTGCTGTCTCCGGCAGATTTCCCGATTTTTAATGCCTCTAAAAACCCTTCCTATCCTAAATTGAACCTAGAACAAGCTACTAGGGACTTGATAGAGTCTTAACCATCTTCGGAATGAGCGATCTTCGGCTTTATTAGGAGTCCGGGCAAGATTTGGGGTCTACATGTGACACAACATTTTTCCTTTTGTAAGTTTTCTTTCCTGTTGGCGTTAAGGGACAACACTATTATTCTAGTTTTGTGGCCTAAGTTGTCATTGGTTGTGGTGAAGAGAGTGTAATGGCTATTGGCTTGACGTACCTATTATTCTATATGCTTAATGGATAAAGTATTTGAAGAGGATTTGTTTATCAACATCACCACACAACTATAACATGTAATTTCTTTTTCTTTAGATACTTTATATTAATTTAGTTTATTTACTCGTGGTCGAGTCAATGGTAATGACGGTCCCCTCCTCAAGTCCCATTTCGACCTTGTTTTCTTAAATTTTCGTGGTAGCGTTGCTACAAGTTTGATCTCTCTTGTCTTGATGATGTTTTGGACCTACTGAAACATCTTATTTACAAAAACCCAGATATCCTTCATTTACAATTTTTATATGGGTTTCCTATGTCAAGGTTCTCTAAAAACGATTATGTTATGTTTCAATTTATTGCTTTTCAATTAATTTCCAATTCATGGTTTCATTTGCGCTCATTAAAATTAGGTTTTAATTTATGATGTGTTAGGGATTCCTTTAAGAAGGATGTACCATGGTAGATACCATGGAGGAGAAATTGCAATGGAATATGTTCGGGGATAAGCTAGCATGATCAAAAATCAAGATTGTGATAAATTGTCTTTTATTATATTAGGTTGTTAGTACTATTAAATAGGTTTTTTCATGCGTATGCCCAATCTAATGAGAGTATGGTAGTCAGTTGAAGGCTGCCCTTCGAGTACTTCACAATGCATAGCCATGTTTTTGAGATATTGAAAGATGTGGTGTCTAATCTGGAAATGATTAACTTTTATATGAAGTTTGAAAATGGTAATGATATTCTTTTTGTGGTACCTTTTTAGTAACCTATGAGACAACTTAACATAGTATAGATTAGATCCCTCTAGGGTGTGCGCAGTTCAATGAGTCTGAATAGAAAAGTTAAAATGTACAAAGGTCATAACATCATAATCTCTCTTGCGAGATTGGAAAAAAAACAAGGAAAAGAATAGCACCGAATTGACAACTTTTGTGTGCGTGAGGTGGAGATAATAACTATGAAGTTACCCATTGTCCGTTATGAAAAAAAAATGTGTTCTTAATTTAACAAAAATATATTGTTTATGTATTTTATAGGGACCAATTCGGTACCTAACACAATTGTGGGGATGAACTTCCTCAAGGAATATCCTTCGGTTTAATAGACAACCATTATAACAAGGATACACATGAAAAAAGATTATGGCTACAAGATAAGTACAATTGTGTATTATATTTGGAAGAAGTTGAGTTTTGAGATATATGAAGCACAACAAGCAACACCAATGGTGCGTAATATTCCAACGACAAAAATACAATCATAATGTTGATGACAAGGGACATAGCTTCAACAAAATAGCTGCGAGCCCAAAAAATAAAAAAAAATTAGTATAAGATTTATTAATATTTTATAATTACAAAAAAGTATACTTCATTCTAATTTTTCTAATCTTAGAAAATAAATCTTCAAATAGCTTGTCATATAATATTTTATATCAATTTATTTTTCAATCACAAGATTAAACTAAAAGAAATAAAACATTCAATACGTTTTTTTATCTTGTAATTATACCAATTTTAATTTTCAACCCGTACAAATGTTTATGTGTTTGTAGTTTAAAAAAAAAAGAATTATTCTACCCAAATGCTCTTTTCCAAAAAAATATTAACCAAAAAGTAATGATATATTGTAACATATCATCGAAATATACTTAATTATGATAAAAATGATGAAAAAATGTTTGCGACTTTGAATTGTTGGAACACTTCTTTTTTTCATCATTGCCATAATTATTATCGTCACTAGCATTTTACCTATTGTTGTTGTTTTTCCAAACCTTCTATCTTTGTTATTATATGATTGGCATTTTATGAGAATTATTACTTTGGTTGTCGTTGTCACCAATATCATCCTGAGTTTCACCATTTCTTACAGTGCTACTTATGTGGAGGTTATGGTTACCACTTTCGTTATTATTTTTAATATCACTATTGAGATCAAGTTGATTGTTAACAATGCCTCTGCCATACACATAATATCATGGTTAACATCAATATAATTTTACAAAACTGTAAGATTTAGTTAATTACAATTTGAGCATGTAGAAAATGAAAAAAAATTTGTTGGCTTTGTTTATTGAACATATTGGTGAATTTTATGTCAAGGTGTGACCGTATGAGGTTGTCCATCGATGACTTCATCGTTCGAAATGAACTTAGTCCAAAACCAGTGTGATTTCCATACTTTATTCATCTCTTCAATTCGAACATTCCTTGTCTCGGGTAGGAACAAGGCAACAAAAATGGTCATGATGAGCACAAATCCAGCAAAGAAGAAGAAAATGCCAAACTTCAAGTGACAAAGCATGGTTAGGAAAATTTGAGCAATGACAAAGGTGAACAACATGTTTACAGCAACATTGGTCCCTTGACCTGCAGATCAAACCTCAAGAGAGCATATTTCACTAGGAACCAACCACCCTAGTGGACCCCAAGACCATGCATATGCTGCAACATATGCACATATGAAGAATAAGAGGAGACTAGCTTCTCCATTGGTAAACGAGCCTTCACCGCTCACTCCAAACTTCATAGCAATCATGGTTCCAACAGCAAGCTACAAAAAGATGTTATGGCTTGGATGTTAGTTGTTCATGCTAACAAATGACCTAACTTAAGTGATAAAAATGTTATTCCTTTTAAATATTACAATAACAAGTATTTTCTATTGACTAAGTTAAGCTTTTTACCTGGCAAATAAGCATTTGAATGCCACCTTCGAGGAACAACATCCTTCTTCCAAACTTGTCCACACAGAAAATGGAAACAAAAGTGGCAACCACATTAACACCTCCAGTGATAACCGAAGACATAAGGGAAGTATCGTTACCAAAGCCTAAAGTCTTGAAGAGGACGGGTGCATAAAACATGATGACATTAATACCAGTGAATTGTTGGAAGAATGGAATCAGAGAGCAAAAAGTGAGTTGAGGTCTATATTTGGGTTGTGTAATGTTCTTCCATGGGTGGTCCACATCTTTGGCTGCTTTAGTCGCATCAATGAGCTCTTGGAACTCCTCCTCAACATTGTCTGTGCCACGAATCCTTTGCAACATTTTCTTGGCTGCTTCTTCTTTACCTCTTTCAAGTAAAGAGTTAGGTGTGTCACCTAAGAAAAGAGATCATGCACATAACATTATTGCAGGAACTGCACCAATACCTAAAGAAACTCTCCAACCATATTCTAGTTTGGAAGTCCCATAGTTGATAAGGTTTGCAATTAAGATACCAATTGTGATCATCATTTGAAATCCAATGTTGAGTGCACCTCTTATCGTTGTTGGGGCCATTTCAGACAAATACACAGGTACAGACTATTGGAAATAAGAATAGTAAAAGAAAACTTTTTAACGTAGTTACTCATGAAAAATTATCTAAACTTATATAATAAAACTTGAAACTATTGAAAATGATATGAAGTCTCACCTGATTACAATACCCAACACCAAAACCAAGCAATAAACGACCTATGATAAGCATTTCAATATTGATGGCAAAAGCATTCAACAATGCACCCACGAGGAAAAACAAACCACCTACGAACATTGAGGTCTTGCGTCCTGTCATTCTTGTGGTGGTGGAAGCAAAGAAAGAAGCTACTAATGCAGCAAGATATAAGGACGAGGTGAACAATGTAAGGAGCTCGTTGTCAAATTTGCAATACTGACTTTCGTGGTTAGATTCATCTTTCATTTGCTTATAAACACTAGGAAAGAATTTTATTAGGAAAGGTTCCATGGAAGTCACTCCTCCCATAATTCCAAGATCATAACCAAAGAGTAAACCACCCATGGCTGCTACAAAACATGTGACCAACACGAACATTGTGACCTTACCCTCATATTGTCTTCCATCTTCTGAAGTAACAAAAGCTCCACCCGCCATCTTTCAAAATATTATATTTTAATTGGATCTATTTGTTTGTTCGATCATTCCCCTCCTTTCCAGTTGATATGAGATTTGAAATAATGACTTGTTTTTATAATCTAAAACATGATAATGATAGAGTGTAACAGATAAGATCATGTATATAATAATAAAAATAACTTCTCTAACAATATTGTATCTTTTCAAGTAATTTAATTATCTATCATGCTATTAATATCGTAACTTATGTGCATCATTTCTTTTTTGTTAAAACTAATATCTTATTTTAAGGATTTCGGATAAGAACTAATTCTTCGAAAGTTACTTATCACGAACATATTGATTAATTTATAAAAGATAATTTATTTTACCATCAATCAATGATGTAATCTATGTGTGATTCAAGGAACAGTAACAAATAGATGAACTTATATGTTTATATATTAATATTGTGTTGCTAGTTACCTTATAAAAATATTGCAGTATTTTAGTTTTAATTAAGTTTTTGGGCCCCAAAAAATATTTCATTCTCATTGTGTACCCCTTTGAAATGTGTTTAATTTATTTATTTATTTGATTCCGCTCCATGATGAAGAAAAACATATTGTGATTATCGATGTTAATGACCAATGCTACCCAACGATAATAAAGTCCAACTTCCTCGCTTCTATGTGTGATAAATGCGCACATTAATTGTGTGGTCCATGCATGTGACACGTCGTTGTTTTATTTTAATAAAAAAAGAAAAGAAAAAACAAACTATCATTATCTTTTGAAGCCAGGAAAACATTAAGGATTGCTTAACATGTGACACAACATTTTTCCCTTTGTAAGTTTTCTTTCCCGTTGGCGTTAAGGGACAACACTATTATTCTAGTTTTGTGGCCTAAGTTGTCATTGGTTGTGGTGAAGAGAGTGTAATGACTATTGGCTTGACGTACCTATTATTCTATATGCTTAATGGATAAAGTATTTGAAGAGGATTTGTTTATCAACATCGTCACACAACTATAACATGTAATTTCTTTTTCTTTAGATACTTTATATTAATTTAGTTTATTTACTCATGGTCGAGTCAATGGTAATGACGGTCCCCTCCTCAAGTCCCATTTCGACCTTGTTTTCTTAAATTTTCGTGGTAGCGTTGCTACAAGTTTCATCTCTCTTGTCTTGATGATGTTTTGGACCTACTGAAACATCTTATTTACAAAAACCCAGATATCCTTCGTTTACAATTTTTATATGGGTTTCCTATGTCAAGGTTCTCTAAAAACGATTATGTTATGTATGTTATGTTTCAATTTATTTCTTTTCAATTAATTTCCAATTAATTTCCAATTAATTTCCAATTCATGTTTTCATTTGCGCTCATTAAAATTAGTTTTGAATTTATGATGTGTTAGGGATTCCTTCAAGAAGGATGTACCATGGTAGATATCTTGGAGGAGAAATTGCAATGGAATATGTTCGAGGATAAGCTAGCATGATCAAAAATCAAGATTGTGATAAATTGTCTTTTATTATATTAGGTTGTTAGTACTATTAAATAGGTTTTTTCATGCGTATATCCAATCTAATGAGAGTATGCTAGTTAGTTGAAGGATGCCCTTCGAGTACTTCACAATGCATAGCCATGTTTTAGAGATATTGAAAGATGTGGTGTCTAATCTGGAAATGATTAACTTGTATACGAAGTTTGAAAATGGTAATGATATTCTTTTTGTGGTACCTTTTTAGTAACCTATGAGATAGTGGCTATGTTCATAGATTCACTTACTGGAGCGTACTACGACAAGGCAATAGCCAGTACCTCCAACCTTTTTTCGGACATAGTCACTGTGGGTGAAAGAGTAGAGCAGGGACTGAGAAGCGGGAAGATAGCACAGTCTTCCCAAGCTGGTGTCTCGTTCAGGAAACCTGCTGGCAAGAAGAAGGATGAATCTGTGCATGCAATCAACTTTGCCACTCCTTCTTCTGCCCCATCAACGGCCAGGAAGCCTCGCAAGAAAGAGAGGAAGTTCACTCCAATCTCCACTTCCTATGGGATGCTGCTACCTCAACTGTTAGAGGCTAAACTCCTAACCTGCGTTCCTCCCAAGAAGCAATTGGAACCCCCCTACCCCGAATGGTATAGGCCAAACGAGAAATGCGCTTACCACTCGGGTTCACCTGGACACTCTACAGAAAATTGCTTGACCCTTAAGTATCGGGTTCAAGAATTAATCGACGCTGGGTGGATAACTTTCGATGCCTCTGCTTCCGATGTCGACGCCAAACCTCTGTCGAAGCCAGAGTAGCAGAAAGGGAGGACTGAGAGGATCAGCCATAGGGTGTCTGTTTTTTTTAGCTTTTTTCTATATCTCCTGCGGTCCCCGCCCGTGGCCGCAGGAATTTTGATTAAAAGGGCTTGTACATACATTTTCATTCTCTTTAATACACGAGACATTTTGTCATATTCATTCTTTTCCCTCTTCTATTTATTATTCTTTCAAAGATAAATTGAATAATAAAATCTATGACTAAAACAGAACCTAAAACACATCATGTCTGTGATTGATGAATCTCTGTAGACCCCAGAAACCGAAGGCGAATGGGTCGAGTCCGACAGTGAGCAGGAGACCATCTCTCCGGACATGCAAAGAATGCTGGAAAAGGAAATACGCATCATACAACCGCATCAAGAAGAAATAGAAATTGTTAATTTGGGACAAGGAGACGATGAAAAGAAGGTGAACATCGACACCCAAATAGAAAGTAGCATAAAGAGGGGATTGATACAGCTCCTGAAGGAATATATATAGTGGAACATAGATTGCCATTGAAAGAAGGGTTCCGACCTGTGAAACAAAAACTCAGGAGAATCAAACCTGATTGGTGTCTAATGATCAAGGAGGAGGTACAAAGGCAACTGGACGCCAATTTCCTGGTAGTTTCTAAATACCCAGAATGGTTGGCCAACATAGTACCCATCATCAAGAAGACCGGGAAGGTCAGGGTATGTGTGGATTATAGGGACCTCAATCGAGCAAGTCCAAAAGATGACTTTCCCCTACCGCATATAGACACGCTAGTGGACCATACTGCTACCAATACACTTTACTCCTTCATGGACGGGTACGCTGGGTACAACCAAATTAAGTTGGCTGTTGAAGACAGAGAAAAAGCCTCCTTCATCACACCATGGGGTACCTTTTGTTACCGAGTAATGCCCTTTGGACTCAAGAATGCAGGGGCTACTTATCAAAGGGCTATGGTCACAATGTTTCATGACATGATCCACAAGGAAATAGAGGTATATGTGGATGACATGATTGCCAAGTCCAGAAATGAGACGGACCACATTCAATATCTTAAGAAGCTTTTTGATAGACTCCGGAAGTACCAGCTTAAATTAAACCCGACAAAATGTACTTTTGGAGTACGATCAGGAAAACTATTGGGGTTCATTGTCAGCAAAAGAGGAATCGAAGTGGATCCTGACAAAACCAAGGCAATTTTGGAAATGCCCCCACCAAGTACGGAAAAAGAGGTTAGAGGTTTTCTAGGCCGGATCAACTACATTGCCCATTTCATTACGCAATTGACGGATAAATGTATACCCATCTTTAAACTGTTGTGCAAAAATCAACCAACGGTGTGGAATGAAGAATGTCAACAAGAATTCGATAAAATCAAAACATGCTTAACCAATCCGCCAGTATTGGTACCACCCGTTGAAGGGAGACCTCTCATCCTGTACTTGTCAATACTCGAAGAGTCCATGGGATGTGTGCTCGACCAACATGACGAAACCGGGAAAAAGGAACGAGCCATTTACTATCTCAGTAAGAAATTCCTAGACTATGAAACCCGTTATACACCATTCGAAAAAACCTGTTGCGCATTGGTGTGGGTCACTCAGCGTCTTCGTCAATATATGGCTCGGCATACGACGTGGTTGGTCTCCAAAATGGACCCAATCAAGTACCTCTTCGAGAAGCCCATTCTGATTGGAAGAATAGCTAGGTGGCAAGTCCTCCTCTCAGAATTTGATATCATTCATGTCACCCAGAAAGCTATTAAAGGTAGCCCCCTAGCGGACTATCTCGCCCATGGATCCACTAATGAATACCAGTCTCTACAAGACGACTTCCCTGATGAGCATATCATGCATATCGAGCACGGAGAGACCAAAGAGGAGGCATGGACCATGTTCTTCGATGGGGCCTCAAACATGCTTGGACACGGGATAGGAGCTATTTTGATATCCCCCGAAAAGAAACACATCCCTGTAACGGCCAGACTTAATTTCGATTGTACCAACAACATGGCTGAATACGAAGCATGTGCATTAGGGATCCAAGCGGCTCTAGATCATGGGGTTACTAAGCTCAAAATCTTTGGTGACTCATCCCTTGTCATTTATCAACTCAAAGGTGAATGGGAAACCCGCAACTCAAAACTAATCCCATATCTAGAGCATATCCAGGATTTAGTTTCAAGAATGGAAAGTGTCACCTTCCAGTATATCCCCCGGGAAGACAACCAATGTGCTGATGCCCTCGCCACTCTATCATCCATGTTTGCCTTATATCAAGAACATGAAATGCCGATCATCCAAGTTAAGCTGCATGACAAACAAGCTTTTTGCATGACAGTAAATGGCGAACATGACCAAAACCCCTGGTACCATGATATCAAGCAATATCTCATGAGGGGCGAATATCCCGAAGGAATCAGCAACAATGATAAACGAACCATTCGTAAAAGGGTCGTAGGGTTCACGTTGATTGAAGGAACCCTCTACAAAAAGAGTCCCGATTCCACTCTCTTAAGGTGTGTGGACCAAGAAGAAGCCCGAACCTTGATAAAAGAAATCCACAAAGGAACTTTTGGGACCCACGCACCTGGGCATGTCATGGCCAAAAAGATTTTAAGGGCAGGAT